CACCCGCCTATTTGAATATCGTATTCTGGCTCACGTAATGCCATTGTTCGCCTCAAAAGCTGAAAGTCAGTGAGGGTGCGAAAGCTGACTGCTGAATTGCATAAAGCTGCAAGTCGAGCGGATGGGCGGAAGGTATGTGTTTGGCTACGACAGCACATGTATGGATGAGCGCACACGTGCACATAACGTGAACAGCGTTCTACAGCTTGGAGGTCTGCGGCTCGGGGATAGAAGCGGGCAAGTAATCAGAGAAGTGCTTGCTCTTGACCTTTTCGAGCTCCTCCTCGGTCATGCGCCTGCACTCGTTGGCAAAGTCGTATCCGAACCGGTCCTTGTTGTGAGCGCCATCCTTGTAGAAGGAGGCCTTCTTGAGGATGGAAACGACGCAAGAGCCACCGAGACCGATGTTGTGCGTCAATGCGGCCTTGACGTTTTCGACCTGCAGCGCACCCGCTTCGCCGCGCAGCTGCAAAGCCATGTAGGCCACCATGCCGAGACCTGTCGCGCCGAGTGGGTGACCCTTGGATTCCAAACCTCCAGAAGGGTTGACGACCCACTTTCCACCGAAAGTGTTGTCGCCAGCCTCGACAATTTTGTGAGCCTCATTCTCGGCGCACAATCCCAAAGCAGGGTAGGTGACGAGCTCGTTGGGAGCAAAGCAGTCGTGCAGCTCCAAGACCTGAATGTCCTTGGCGGTCAGACCGGCTTGCTTGTAAGCAATCGTTGCCGCACGTCGGCTCATGTCAGCACCGGCAAGTTCGATTCTAGAGCGATCCTCGTAGAGTCTTGGAGAGTCGGTGGACACTCCCAGACCGGCGATCTCGATTGCTCGGTCTTGAAGATTGTGCTTCTTGATAAAGTCCTCGCTCACGACGATTGCAGCGGCGCCTCCATCAGAGGTGGGGGAGCACATGGGCAATGTCACCTCGCGCGTGATCTTGCGGGCCTTGGCTACCTCTTGTGGGCTCGGAGAGACCCTAAACTGCGCATAGGGGTTCTTGACGCTGTGCTTGTGGTTCTTGGCAGCGATTGCAGCAATGTGATCCCAAGTGGCGCCATACTTTTCCACGTACTCTTGACCAGCAGCTCCGAAGATGCGAGCAGCAAAAGGTCCAAAGTCATCCGTCTTGTACTCCTTTTCGGCTTCAATTTCAAACACCTGAGACATGGTGCCCTCCATGGGAGGCGCTCGATCGTTCCATGCGGATCCGAGAGAGCCTGGTGCCATCTTCTCGAAACCGAGTGCCAGTGCGCAGTCGGCTTGACCTGCCATGATGCTGTTGGCAGCAAGGACAAAGGCAGAAGAGCCAGTGGAGCAGTTGTTGTTGACGTTTACGATGGGAATACCGGTCATACCAAGTTGATACAAGGCACGCTGTCCGCAAGTCGAGTCGCCGTCTTGGTAGCAAGAGAGTGGTCACAATCAGCGTACAGTATGGACGCTGCATGGGACCCGTCATATAGACTCACAACAGTACCCCACAGCAGCAGTCTCGACATCATCGTAGGTGATGCCGGCATCGATGAGTGCCTGTAGAGGTGATGTCGGGTCAGTTCGATTTTGATTGGCAATGCAAAGACAGTCAGGCGGGTGCAAGAGCATGCATGCTGCGCATCGCTACTCACCTTGACCGTGGCTTCCAGACCGAGTTCGGGGTAATCACGCTCGCCGCGGGGCTTGTCGAACTTGGTAAGGCCGACGCCTACGACGTAAGCCTTGTGAGGAGTGTACGGCATGTTTGGCCAAGTGTGGTGTTGTGTGTGTGTGTGTGTGTGATTCGGAAGTGTGAGGATGGCAGAGGGTGTGGTGGCGAGATGACATACGTTGCCCAGCTTGAGCGCATCAGATTTTATATCATGGCTGGACTCTGCTGCATGGCGAAAGCTGCATGAAGCCCTTGGTCGCTTCATCGAGCAGTTCGGACCGGTGCCTCGGCAAAGTAGATTGCCCGTGCAAGACAGACCCCTCCACCTGTGCCTACAGTACCTACCGGTACAGTACACAACCGCGCAGCAATCACGACGCCACTACCCGTTCAACAACCGCTCGCTTGACCACACAAGGTCGAGAAGTCAATTATTCCCATTCACATTCACGACTGCGTCGGACAGCCAGGCGGGTTCAGCTGACATATCCCAGTGACTGCCTTACATCGAGGCACGAGCGGGCTCGAGCGTGAGGGGTTAGCATCCATGGCAGAACTCGTGCATTAAACTCACGACTGGCCTGCGGTTCCGTTGCTGAATCACGATTGCGGGGAAGCGAGGGCAAGATCCGCGCGTCGCAGCTAGCTAGCAGAGCGCGGCCGTTGCCCGCGCATCCGTGCATGTACGCGCGCAGCAGGACTCAAACTGGCAAGCAAAGCGAGACTTGTCCCGCCACGAGCTGCATGGCTGCCTGCCTGTACAGTATACACACACACGCCCAGCAGCATCTGTAGGAGAGGTGTTCGGCTTGATTCAAGGCCGGAAGCCGGCCAGGCCAAGCAGCACCACACCACACCACACCACACCACACCACACCACACCACACCACACCATCGCAATCTGACTGAGCAATCATCAAGAGCTTGCCAACCCACTCAGGCTCCTCTTCAGACCCTCAAGCTTCGGCCGTATGGCTCGGACGAGATGGACGCAAGCAATCAAGCACGTCAAAACAAGAATTTAGAGACAGGTATGAGGATGTCTTACGGCGAAGCCGATGAGGATCGAAAACGATCCAGGCTTCTTGTACGCAAGCAAGTTTAGGCGTGATCACGTGGTGCGGTGCGACTCGCGGGGGGCGCGACGCGCAAGCAACACGACGTGCATGGGTGCATGCACCGCATCGCCTTGCCGCATTCAGGATTGCATGCACGTCTTCGAGAAATGACCTCTTGATGAGTCACTAAGTGATTCGTTCGAGGTGACCTGAATCTTGAATTGAAGCGGTCGCTCGTGATTGTTGTATGTTCAAGCGTCATCGCGCCTAGAAGTCTGACGTTGCGATTGGGCTCAAAAGCCAAGGCTCGGAAGACATGCTGAGGAGAGCCTTGGACAAGAAAGAGACTTCCTAGATCAAGAGCCATTCAAGCTTCCGATCGGCGCAAGGCCTTCGCAACAGGACTTCATCACGGCTGCGCAAGTCGAGCTCCCTTATCACGGACCAAAGACTTGACGCAGATTTGCGCTTCTTCGAGATGGACTTCACTGCATCTTATGCCCACGCATCCACTTCCTCCCTTCGATTCTCTCCTGGTTCCACTTTCCTCGCATCGTTGGTTGGAAATCCCTCGCGAACAGTGGTGGTACGCTCAGCTCTAAGCTTGACACCCGTCAGATCGTGGGACCTACCCTTGACGCTGCATTCCCTACAATGGTCAGCAGACGGAGCCTTTCTGCTGGTGACGGCCCTCGAAGATGCTACCGTCTTTGTGCTCAGCCTCGATCCCAAGAGGGAGGCGCGATACGGAGAAGATGCGGGCGAAGGATGGATCGCTAGGCTACAGGCTGGCGCTGAAGGATTAGTGCACGCTCAGTGGGCTCCCAATGATGGACCTCACACCGTCTTGTGCTTCAGCGAGAACGATGTGAGCGCAAGAGCTTCACCCTCTCTCGACTGTTCCCAGCCCCGTTTTGAAAACGCTCACATCACCTTCTTCTCAGATGCGCGTGACGGCATGGCAGCTAGCAAGCGAAACACCGACTCTGATCGACTCGCCCAAGACTGCTAGAGGTGCGCATGCTTCGGGCTTGGTGTGTTTGGACACCGTGATATTGACGCACACATGTCTCCCTGCGTCACAGCGTATTCGAACGCACAGTCCAACACCTTCGCGCTGCTGCAAAGGCACGACAATAAAGAGGCTGTGTCGCTGTTCGTTCAAGGCTCGCATGGCAATGCCAAGAGAGAACGGCATTTGGAATTGGCCGATCCAGACGGGGATGGGCAAGGTTGGAGACTCTGGAAGGTAAGCTGTTCCACTGTGAACTTGACATGCGTTCCTTGTTGAACATTGCATCTGCTCTTCGCAGAGTTTTCTCGTCGCAACCAATGACGCCGCGGGCTTGGCGTGGTCGCCAACAGGTTTGCACATCGCTATTTGGGAATCTCTGCTGGAGGTGCGCCCGGAGATGTTGCGACGTGACCGGTCCTCCCCTCACATGGTGACGCCTCCTCCCGCTGCCTTGCCTTTTCAGTACAAGCTTCAACTTTACACGATCGCAGGACAACTCAGAGCAACCTTTGCGATAGAAGCTGGTGCCGAAGAGCCGACCACGGTGTATTCGACCAGCTCTCGCGCCAACAATGGAACATCTCTTGCGAGTACCCAACAGGGGAGTCTGGGTCCGAGCTCTTCGCTCAGAAATCGCAAGGCGCAGGAGCACCTTTCGGACAATCGCAGCATTGCCGGCGGCGGGCTAGGCATACGCTGTGTGGAATTTGCACCGAATGGCAAGTACCTCGCTGTTGGAGGTGCAGACGAAAAGGTGTGTTTTGGTTTCAGAGGTAGATACATGCTCCATGCTGATCACTTCTTCACTCGAGCTAGCTTTGGATCCTAGACGCGACCGACGGACAGCAGCTTTCTGTGCTGGACCACTCAAAAACATCGTACGGTGCATCTAGCAAAAGCAACGGCACGTCAGAACAGCTCGTGAGTTGCCAATCTCCTCGTCTGGTAAATCTGGGCATACGTTGACAAACGGCTAATCGATATGCGACCGCACCAGATCGCGTGGCGAGAGCCGCATCGGTGGATTGAAGAAACGGGAGGCCGTGGCATCATCACATGTGCGTGGATGATGTTGAGCGCGTCGAGGCAGCTTCCTTGTTGACAAGTCACAGGCTGACGACCGCCATGCCATAGTGGAGCAAAATACCTTGCCCGTGGCGCCCCCGGCAGTGCGTGTCGATCACACCAAGCCCTTTCCAAAGAGCGGCATCTCCTGGCTATCCTGGTC